TGCAAGGGAATGGAGAGTGATGTTTGGGTGTGGTGCTATTTTAAGACAGTGGTTACCTGGCGTGGAGGCTCAAGCTTATAATTGCAGTACTTTGGCAGGCCAAGGCGAGAGGATTGCCTGAGCTCAGAGGTTCCAGACCAGCCTGGACAACTTGGTAAGACCTCATCTCTACAATAAATAAAAAAAATAAGCCAGGTCTGGTAGCACATGCCTGTAGTTCCAGCTACTTGGAAGGCTGAGGCGGAAGGATCCAGCAAGTCGAGGCTGCAGTGGCCATGAGTGTGCCACTGCACTCCAGCCTAGGTGACAGAGTGAGATTCCAACTCAAAAAACAAAAAACAAAAAACAGTGGTCACTGGATTCTTTCTGATAAGGAGACCTTTGAGGAGTGGTGTGCAGAAAGTGAGGAAGAAAGTTCTGCAAGTTGCAGTGAAACTAAACAGCAAGAGGAACTCTAAATGAAAAGGTCCTGAGACAGGAGTATGCTGGGCATGGAAGAAGAGCAAGGGTAGTCAATGTAGAGGCAGAGAACCCTTAGACAATGCTTGTGATTTGCCAAGCAAGAGAGGTTGGAAGTTTTTAGGAGGTGGTGGAAGTGGTGGTGGTGAGAATGGCTGGACTCTGTATATATGGTGAGACAGGGCTAAAGGGTTGTCTGATGGAGCAGATGTATGGTGTGAGAGAAAGGCAGCAAGGAAGGATGACTCCAGTGGCTTTGCCCTGAGCCACTGCAAGAAAGGAGTTGTCATTTACTGAGATGAGGATGAGTGTGGAAAGAGCAGTGGTGGACGTGTACGATCTGAGATGCCTGCCAAACACCAAAGTAGGCATGTCAACCATGCAGCAAGATGACTGGGTCTGGAATTCAGGAGAGAAGTCAGTGAGAGATGGATATTTGAGAGCTGCGGTGTGTCAGTGACATGTTAAGCCACGGGACTGGTTGATATTGCCTAGGGAGGTAGGATAGCCAGAGAAGAAGAGGGATCTGAGGCCTGGGCGAATAGCTCCAGAGTTGTTCCATGTTCAGATGCTGCTGATAGGAGGAGGAGTCAGGTGAGACGTCAGAGAAAGAGTGTCCAGTATGGTGGGAGTACTTCCAAGAAAGAGTTGTGTTTCTGAAACTAAGTAAAAAGAAAAAAAAATTCAGGCCGGGCTCGGTGGCTCAGCCTGTAATCCCAGTGCTTTGGGAGGCCAAGGTGAGTGGATTGCCTGAGCCTGCGGGTTCGAGACCACCCTGGGCAGCTTGGTGAGACCTCATCTCTACAATAAATAAAAAATTAGCCAGGTGTTGTAGCGCACACCTGTAGTTCCAGCTACTTGGAAGGCTGAGGCAGAGGGATCGCCAGAGCCCAGCAGGTCGAGGCTGTGGTGGCCGGGAGCAGCCACTGCACTCCAGTCTGGGTGACAGAGTGAGACTCCAACTCAAAAAAAAAGAAAGAAAAAAATGTTCTAGAAGAGTTTCACAGTACAAATTAGTCCACCGGCAAATCCTCTTGTATCTATTTTCAACATATATCCAGAATGTGACCTTTAAGACCCTTCTCCCCCAACTCTCTAGTGTGATGCAAGTCACCTTCAGCTTCCTTGCAGACAACTAAAGTCTTTAACTGGTTCTCTGCTTCCACATGGGCTCCCCAATAGCCTATCTCCATATAACAGGTTGAGTGATTCTTTCAAAACATAAGTCACATCACAGGGGGTTTTTTTTTTTTAAGATGGGTCTGACTATGTTGGAGTATGTTGGAGCCAGGGTGGACTCCAACCTAGGCTCAAGCGATCCCCTCACCTCAACAGATGTTGTCACATGGTCCATAAAAAGAGGACTGAGGGTTGATCATGTGATTTGACTATGGAGAGTCATTCATGGGTAACATGTGGCACGGCCGTTTAATAGGATGGGGAGAGATGAAGGCCATGTTCTACTGGAATCAATATATAAACAGTGGGTCAATAAGCATTTGTAAAGGTCTTCATTCACATCAGTATTCAGAGAAATGCAAGGTATAGCCACAAAAGGATATCGCTGCATATCACATGCTTGGCAAAACTTAAAAGATTCACAACACCGGGCATTACTGAGAATGTGCAGTGGTAGAGATTCCCAAACTGATTTGGGAAGGTGATTGCCGCAACATTTTGACACATGGTTTGTGATATTCTAGTTACACTGAAGTTTTGCCAATCCTATGACCTAGCATTCTACTTCTAGGAATATACCCTAGGAAGTCATGTACAGTTGCATCATGTTACATAGACAATAATGTCCATAGCAGCACTGCTCATAGTATACCCTGAGAAAAAAGGAAAACAGACAATAGGATGGATGGTGAATTGAAAGGGATTTAGACACAGAAATACCAGTTTAACAATGGAAAGACATGAACTATGGCTTCAATAATCACAGAAGGTAACCTGAATGAAATGGGGGGTAAAAGAAGGCACAGCCGGGCTCAGTGGTTCAGCCTGTAATCCCAGCACTTTGGGAGGCCGAGGCGAGTGGATTGCCTGAGCCCGAGGATTCGAGATGAGCCCGGGCGACTTGTTGAGACCTTGCCTCCTCATAAATAAAAAATTAGCGGGCGTGGTAGCACACACGCCTGTAGTTCTGGCTACCTGGAAGGATGAAGCAGAAGGATTGGCGGAGCCCAGTAGGTTGACGCTGGAGTGGCCGTGAGTGTGCCATGGGACTCCAGCCCGGGTGACAGAGTGAGACTCCAACTCAAAAAAAAAAAGAAAGAAAGAAAAGAAAGAAAGAAGGCATGTATAAAGATGTATATATATGTATTCATATGTAATCAAAGGCCGGTAAACTGATATTAAATGTGCAGATTGTGTGTGTAGAAGGTAAAACTACAAGGAACCATGAGGAAGCTGTTACCATAGAGACAGGATCACGCAGGTCTCTGCAGGAGGAGGGATTTGTAAATACAAAGGGGCACCTCGGTTACTTCTGCAGAGCTTCAAGTGTCGATAACTTGACCAAAATAGTGGTTACACTTCTTTTCTATTTTTAATAATTTCCCAAAATCTACATCTATTTTTAGAATACACTCCTCAGTGAATGTACTGTGTCTCAGAATTTTAAAATGTTAAAAACAGACAGCAGGTAAGGAAGAATGGAGGCTTCATGTATGTACTCTTCATCAAAGCCATGCATTATAAAACAGGCAATATGTGGATGGTTGCTGAGGGGGTGATGTGGGCTGAAAGGAAGGTTTTACTAAGGTAGAGTACAGCATTATAAGGAAGTTGCTCCAACAGACACCCATGTTTTTTTCTTTTTTTTGAGTTGGAGTCTTATTCTGTGGCCCACACTGGAGTGCAGTGGCCGCTCCCAGCCACCACAGCCTCAACCTGCTGGGCTCCGGCGGTCCTTCCACCTCAGCTTTCCAAGTAGCTGGAACTACAGGCATGCGCTACCACACGCAGCTAATGTTTTGATTTATTGTAGAGACGAGGTCTTGCTAAGTTGCCCGGGCAGGTCTCGAACCTGCGGGCTCAGGAAATCCACTCACCTCAGCCTCCCAAAGCGCAGGATTACAGGCTGAGCCACCGAGCCCAGTTGACACCCAGATTTTTTTAAGATTAAAAGAGAGAAGAGACCAGTGTGAAGAGAAGTTCATAAGAAATTGAAATGAAAGGAGACTGCACGTGGCAAGTAAAGGGACAGCCTTCATATCAGACCATGGACAATTTATTCAGTATAAGAGGAGGACAATTTAGAAACAGGTGGATTCACCTTGAGGCTACATTTTCTTCTATTTTGTTCCATGAAATGTGAGGAAAGAAGAAATCAAGAGAGTGAAGTGACCAGTAAAATGCAGTAGAAGGTAAATTTGGGAATCACAAATGTGCCATTCATTAGGTCAGAGTGTAGGTTTTGCAGAAGACATTTCTAGGCATCAGGGAAGGCATGAAACAAGCACAAACAAACAACATACAACAGAGGACACACTGTACCACCCAGACCTGGGAATCATTTACACATTCAAAAAATGATTCTTCTTCAACTACTCTTGGAAAAGGGCTCTTCTAGGCCTAGCAGTATCAGGATGAAAAACCAGAAGAGTTAACCAAAACATGGAGATTTTATTCTAACACAGGGCAGACTTTTAGGATACCTATTTTTCAACAGGCATAAGCTGAGGATACAAGTATGAAGGGTCATTCCTACAGAAGTATATTCCTGGAGATACCAACCAATGTGCCTATCATTATCACACATAATAGAAGACTGCTCTGTTAGCATCTCCCATATACACTTTTGGACAGTATTACAATCACAACTCAGAAACAGAATCTTGATAATGTTAAAAAAAAAAATAGGCCTATTTTCCTGGTGTCCCATGGGACACCAGACCACTGAGGTCTATGCTGGGTCACAGGACAGCCTCCTCACTTGCCTTATCTAACAGATGGGCCCCTGAGATGCACACATTATGTCTATAATGCCTTATTAGGCAGAAAAGATCACCGTGGGTAAAGGTGTTCATATGCTCAGAGCAAGAGTTTCAGAAGAGAGCAAATGGGCAATGGAGTGTGCCTGGCAGAGACATCTCCATGCTCCTTGGTCTGGAATGTTTGGAATTAGTTGAGCAACGGTCAACAGGAGGGGTTGGAGAGGCAGTGTTCTGCACAGTACAGTTAAGAAAGACATGAAGATTTAGTTTTTTCTCTCAAGGTATAAGCCTGTAGTACAGAGTCTGCAGTTCTTTTGAGGATACATCCACTCCCGCATGATGTCTTAAGGACTTAGTCAAGGAGCAGAGTAGCTGATGCTGAAAATCATCAAGGATGGAAAATGTCTGAAAGATATCAGATGCATCTGAGAGACTAGGTAGAGAATCAGGCAGAACATTCATCTTTCAGAGGTGGGAAGTAGCCATCCTTTATACAGCCAGTGTAGGTCTGGGGCTAGTACCTTTATCTGAGGGCCTGTTTGTGTGAGACAGATGTTGCTGATGGACACGGGCTGTGTCACCAACTGATTCAATAAGGCCATGTCAACCTCTTTCCTGTCTTTTCTACAAAAACCCCATGTGGTTTTGTATGAGGATAGGAGACTGCTTCCAATATGGACTCCCCAGACGAAGGATCTGTGGCTAGACATACTTCTAAGCCTTTCAAGTGTCAGGTTGGTGATCATGTTGATCTTGGGGATGATTTTTCTCCCAAGCATATACGGTGACGTGTCATCGGTACATTACTCTTCTTATGAAATAGTCATCCCAAAGAGTCTGACCGTTAGGGAAAATGAAGATCCAGTGGAAAAGGCATCCTATATGTTGTTTCTGCACGGCCAGAAGCACCTGGTTCACCTGCAGTTGAAGAGAGACTATTTTGTGAGTTACTTTCCAGTCTACATTTACCACAATGGCATCCTGGGGCAAGATGTTCCCTTGATCTCACGTGACTGTCACTATGAAGGCTACATAGAAGGAGTGCCAGGTTCGTTTGTGTCTGTCAACACTTGTGCAGGCCTCAGGGGCATCCTGAGTAAGGAGGGAATCTCCTATGGCATCGAGCCCATGGACTCCTCCAAACAGTTTGAACATGTGGTATACACCACAGCACATGAGGCGCGAGCCTCCTGTAGTGTCGCTTCCAGAGACAGGCAAGTGGTGTCCACCAGCTGGCAACAAGGGCACAGGAAGCCTCATAATCGGCAGGCGCCGTCCTCCTTGTGGGCACACACCAAGTACGTGGAGATGCTCGTGGTGGTCAACCACCAGCAGTTCCAGACATGGGGCAGTACCGTCAACGGGACAGTCCAGAGAGTAGTGGACATCATTGCTCTGGCCAACAGCTTTACCAGGGGAATCAACACAGAGGTGGTGTTGGCGGGAATGGAGATCTGGACCGAGCAGGACCTGATAGAGGTCCCAGTGGACTTGCAAGTTACACTCAAGAATTTCAACAGCTGGAGACAAGAGAAGCTCCTCCACCGTGTGAAGCATGATGTTGCCCACTTGATCGTTGGGCGTCATCCTGGACAGAGTATGGGCCAGGCGTTTCTCGGCGGTGCCTGCTCAAGCGGTTTTGCGACAGCTGTCGAATCCTTCCATCAGGAAGATGTCCTCCTATCAGCAGCGCTCATGGTCCATGAGCTCGGGCACAACCTGGGGATTCAGCACGACCACTCGGCCTGCTTCTGTAAAGATAAGCCCTTTTGCCTCATGCACGAAAATTTCACTAAAGAGAGCGGCTTCAGCAACTGCAGCTCTCACTACTTCCACCGGTTCCTTCAGGAACACAAGGGGGCCTGCCTGTTTAACAAGCCGGGGCACAAAGGCCGCAAGCGAAGGGAGGATTCCCGCTGCGGAAACGGTGTGGTGGAGGACGCGGAGCAGTGCGACTGTGGTTCTGCCTGTCATGCAGACCAATGCTGTGACAGTAACTGTAAACTAAAGGCAAGTGCACAGTGTGGGGAAGGACCCTGCTGTTTTATGTGTAAATTTAAACTTCAGGGAGATACCTGCCGTTCATCTACAACTTCATGTGACCTCCCTGAATATTGTAATGGGAAATCTGCAGAATGCCCTGAAGACAGGTATAAACAAGATGGCACTGTATGTGACAGAAAATACTATTGTGAGGAAGGTCGCTGCATTAACCCTACTGAACAGTGCTCAATATTATTTGGGTTTGAAGCATATTCTGCGTCAGAAGAGTGTTACAGTACATTTAACAGTAAAGGTGACCGATTTGGAAACTGTGGCCTTCCTACTGCAGATCAGCCAAATTATGTTCAGTGTTCAGCAGGTAATACATTGTGTGGAAAGGTTGTATGTACAGGTCTTTCTAAGTTACCACCAATCAAACTCAACCACACAGTGATACAGGTTCCTGTTAGAGATGACTTTTGCTGGAGCATGGGCCTCTATAATGATAGCAACATCCCTGATAAAGGAAATATACTCAGTGGCACTTACTGTGCACCAGACAAAATCTGCATGGAATCTTCCTGCATAGATCATGCCTGGACCAATCTTTCCTGCAACCCTGAGGAACTATGTAATCTGAGAGGAGTTTGTAATGATTTAGGGCACTGCCACTGTAGTGATGGGTATGCTCCCCCTGACTGCAAACATGTAGGACCTGGGGGCAGTGTGGACAGTGGCCCTGCGGCTAAGCCAGATTTTCTAGAAGTACCAGGGACTCCAGAAGTATCAGCAGAACTAGAGACTCTAGCAGTAACAGGAGAAACAGGGACTCCAGGAATACCAGGGACTCCAGGAATACCAGGGCCTCCAGGAATACCAGGGCCTCCAGGAGTACCAGGGCCTCCAGGAGTACCAGGGCCTCCAGGAGTACCAGGGACTCCAGGAATACCAGGGACTCCAGGAATACCATGGACTCCAGAAATACCAGAAGAACCAGAGCCTCCAGGAGCAGCACCAGGACAACCAGAAGCTCCAGGAGAACCAGGAGATGAGGAACAAGTAGGCGTTGTGGCAGACATAATAATATCACTCATTATGCTACTAGCCATAATAGCAATATGTACAATCATTTACTTCGCCTGCCAGTACAAAACATCACCAGAAGTTCCACCGTCAGCCCCAGAAGAGGCTGCAGAAGCAACAACCCCAGTAAAGGCCCCCGAAGAGGCTCCACCCGAAGCTAAAAAAGAAGAAGAGGCGGAGGAAGAGGAGGAGGAGGAAGAGGAAGAGGAGGAAGAGGAAGAGGAGGAGGAGGAAGAGGAAGAATCAGAGCCCTAAGATAAGTAGTAGGGGAATGAAGTCAAATATATCAAACTCCTTAAGCACTGAATGGGAATGAGAGGCTCAGTGAAGCAAAGGTGAACTGGAAAGAGTTGACTCTAGAGGCTCTGACTGCGACTCTGCAGTCCATGAAAATACACTAACATGGAAAGAGGAATTCATCCACTTTTATTATTTATTTTAGTAATTAATTTACATTTATTCTGTATTTAAATATTTAGTACCTTTTGTTTTTTCACATTTCACTTGAACTCTTAACATGCATCCTTGGATATCAATGTCCTTGTCTCTTTGGACCAGTTTTTTCAATCACTAGAAACTCTTTTTCAGGACATGCTATCTTCCATTTAAGTTGTTTCACATACAGAATTATATATACCAGAATTTATTACTATCAACAGGATTTTCATTTTAAGGAACAACTACCTGTTATGTGAGAACAGTTGTTTATGTAACTGATTGTTCTAACTTGCCCTATAAATGTGCATTCATCAAATGAGGAGGTTTTTAATAAAAAAATAAGACTCTATTCATATTAGACATCTCTTCAGGTTCCATGGGTTATGGTTATTGAGTCCACTTTGTTCTGTAGCTCCATGGGAGGGACTATATCAAATAAAGCAGATGACCCTAATTGTCCCTAGATTAAGAGGCCAGCATTGAAGACACTTGCTTTCCAAATCTGGCAGACATTTAACACAATGCATGCATATTTGGTTTATTACTTTCCAGTATTTCTAGGTGCTTCTTACAGACATTACCTTTTTATCTAAAATATTTTGTTCTTCCAGGATAGCCTTCCTAGCCCTTCTTCTTTTTTTACTAATTTTTCTGGGATGAATTTCATACCCCCAGATAACTCATAGCTGGGGAACATCACCTAGAGTTAGGAAAATATGTCTATACTACCTTTAAAACAGTATACGGCATCTTCCCAGTGCTGAGTATATGTATGAAATTAAAATATTTTCTATTCCACTTTTCTTTTTTAACATGTATTTACATTAATAACTTGTTGACTGACAATCAGAAGGAACCTTTCCAGTACAGATAACAGAGCTCTGGAGGTATCAGTTACTTCTCTGACAAGAGAGCACAAAGCAAATGTAATATTAACATCATTCATTCTGTACTGAGAACTGTGTTAAACATTTTACATTCACTGTCTTAATTTAATCTTCCCAACTTCCCAGTGACACCTCTGTCTTATACATGAGGAAACAAGACCAAGAGTTCTCTCTGGAGTAAGCTAATAATTGGTGAAACCTGCATCCCTCCCCTGGATTGGCTAAATCTACATATTCCATGAGCCTTTTCCTTTGGTTAAACAAACAAAAAAAGTGATGGCAGACACATTTGATATGTCCTTAATTGCCCAGAACATGCCTTCTTCCACTGTGACTTTAATGAAACAAAAGTTTTGCAAATTAATACTAACCTCTGTCCTGAGCCAATCCCATTTTGTAGTCATTATGAATTAAAATGTCTTTTTTGCTATCATACCCTGACAGCATAGAGTGGCAAGCTGGCATTATGATTCAGTCCTGTGGGCCCAGTTCATTGTAGATGTTCAAAAAATGCTGACCAATGAAATGATTTAACCAAATCCAACCTTAAAAATGGGTAAGAGTTGCACCTTGGGTAGATGCTTTTTGTCAGTCTGTCATCACTACACAACCAAAATCTTTCTCAAATTCAGTATTAGTAATTATATAAACCTCATGAATTAGGTTATGAAATGTTTAAAAACTGAAACTCCAGCCAAAGAAGGCTAAAACCCATTAGAGTAGACTATGACAGGGAGTGGCAAATTATAGCAGGGGTGAGCAGGCACATGTAAATTGTGATCTGAAATCTCCAGGCTCAAGAATCAGAGTTCCCAGTAAAACTTGGGTGATGGCCAGGCGCGGTGGCTCACGCCTATAATCCCAGCACTTTGGGAGGTTGAGTTTAGAGGCCAGCATGGGCAACATTGCTAGACCTCATCTCTACAGTAAATCAAAACATTAGCCAGGCATGGTGGCGCATGCCTGTAGTTCCAGTTACTTGGAAGGCTGAGGCAGAAGGATCACCTGAGCCCAGTGGGTCGAGGCTGCGGTAGCCGTGAGTGTGCCACTGCACTCCAGCCTGGGTGACAGAGTGAGATTCCAACTAAAAAAAAAACAAAAAATTACTCGGGTGACTATAGTCTGTTCTGCACTGTATGTGACTGCCGCTAGGAAGCGTCATCTTTCTCCTGACTTCTCTCTCCAATGTGTTTGGGGAATTAAGAGGAATGCTTTTATGTCCCAGTAATCTGTGTTGGTAGTCAGTCATTTGTGATCCAGTCAGGTGCTGGAGACCCTGCTGGTGACTTCTTGCCACCCTTTACCCATCTTCTCTGGGTTGCTCCATTCTCTGTGCTGCCTCAGGTCAGCAGAGACCCAGGCCCTTCCCTTATTTTCCAAAGCACTGCCATGTCCAGGCTCTAAATTTTTATCCAGATATAGGAGAAACAAAAGGAAGTAATAATGTGGGGAAGAAAACACATTTGGATGCTGCAGGTATGCTCCTGGCATCTAGGGGTCAAACTCCTTCCTGGGAGACTTGGATGGCCCATCTCTCTCCTTAGCCCCGAACTGACATCGTTTCTTGTCCCTCTAGAACTGCCTGCGGAACTTTCCTCCTAGCATGGAGCTAAACACCGTTCCATTCTCTGGACTCAGTAAGAGTGAAAAAAAAATTAAAAACAATGTACCGAAAACCCGTATCATATCATCATAAACGCAGATGGATGCAATTCTGCCCACAATGAAGACAAAGTGTTACATTAATTTGAAAACATTTTAGTTTCTTGTTTCTCCAAACTTAATTATTGAGTATAATTTTTTAATTTGGGTGTGTGCATAGGGTGAGGAGAGGGGCCAAAAGTCTCACTGAAGTATTTTCTCAAAAAAAAAAAGAGGGCAGTCTTCTTCCACCGATGAAAATGCAAATACTGCCAGGTGCATGGCTCACACCAAAATTCCAGCACTTTGGGAGGTGGAGGTGAGATGATTGCCTGAGCCCAGGAGTTGGGAACCAGCCTGGGCAACTTGGTGAGACCTCATCTCTACAATTAGGAAAAAAAAAATTGGCCAGGTGTGGTAGCGCATGATTGTAGTTCCAGCTACTTGGAAGGCTGAGGCAGAAGGATCACATGAGTCTGGCAGGTCAAGGCTATGGTCCCTGTGAATGTGCCAGTGCACTCCAGCCTGGGTGACAGAGTGAGACTCTGACTCAAAACAAATAAATAAAATGCAAAATGTCAAACAGCTGTAAAATAAGCTTTCCCCCTGTTTCTAGACACAAAGCTTTTGAAATTTGTGAGGTCTTCTATCCCTCATTGTATACGTAATGTGACTCCAAGTAATTACTCTGCAATGGGGAGAAAATCTTCCATAACCACCCCCTGTAAAAATGCATGCTCTACTACTTACGTCTTTTTATGGAAAATCTCCTTATTTCTAGACTCTGCTGGGGAGAGAAGATAATTATATACTTTGACCTTGACCCTTGCTATGAAATAGATTGTGGGTCTTTGAAACTTGTGACATAATGAACTGTACTTATAGACATTTCAAAGCCTCTGTAGTTTTTATTTAATCAGAGGAAATTTTGCCTTTATTTTGGGGGGAACTTTTAGTGAGATTTTATTCAAAGATAGATCCCAAGTCCTATTCTTTGCAAGAGTGGTTGAGACAGGATTTGCATAGCTCGACTCAATTTCTAGCTGAGTTGTCTTCACTGCTAGCAGAGTTATATCCATTCAGAGTTCACTATGATTTTGACCACTAAAAAGGAAGGATTCTGGTGAGAGAAAAGGTGAAAGTTGGGGCCCTATGCTTTGTTTAAGGTGGTCCAGGTAAAGGACTGAGGCACAAGAATGTTGGAAGGTAATGCCCCCAACAGACCATGGCCTATAGAGTACTGAAGCATTGATGGTGAGCATCCATTGTCTCCTATTTTCTGAATTGTAACCCCTGTTATTTTCAGGAAGCCCAGACACATATACTTTTATAAAATGAGGTCCTGTCCTACATGCTCTTTTTAGTTTGGATGCTCCTCCTTTTAACAAAATGCTGTCTTTATTTCTTTCACTTACCATTCCCTCTCTTTATCTGCTTCATTGGTTGTGGTTGTCCCTACCTTTGTTCTTAGAAATCACTGTGAGCCTAGTGCACAGCTTTCCATACCTTTTGCCATGCTCACATAATTATGTGTTTGGGGGCAATATCTTAAAAATGAGGTGAAATTATCTACTTTTCTTTGAATCTTGCTTTTCTCTGCATAGTAGCAAGTTCACCAAGTCATCCTGTATACTTCTAAATCATTTTTTCACAACCATATAGGATTCCACAGCATATTGGTAATTATATTCAACTATTTTCCTATACATAAACATTAATTTTATTTTCAGGGTTTTGTTTTGTTCTAGCCATTACAAGTAATACTGTCAACCCTTGTAAATATACAAACCAGAATATAGTATATCCAGGAATTTCTTCTGGGTCCTATTCTCCACCTATGCTGTCTGTCTATTATAACTTTCCCTTCTCCACCACTCCTGTTGTCAGAATTCTGTTTACTCTCAAGATAATTACCGATAAGCATGCTCAGGAAGCTCTGAACTAGGCAAGTACTTCTCAGTATCCTGCTTTTGCTTGAATTAGTTTAAGTTTTGGCTGCCTATGTCCTGCTTAGTTCAAAGAAGCAGTAATTTCACAGCTAGAATTTATCACTGTAGGCAGCAAAAGAGGCTGAGATTTATGGGAACCCATTCCTCTCTTCTAAGGCCTTGCAGAGCTAGCCTCAGGATATCACTCTGTGAAAGAAAATAGTAAAATATTTTCCCAGACATCAGATTAGGGTTTAGGGATAGCTGGTTGGGCCTATTGGGCTTCCTGTCCCTTCAATTCACTCAACAAGATAAAATCTAAATTGTGAATCCAGAGATGACACTTCTCATACCACTCTGCCAGCCCTAGGCTGGTAAGAGAAGTTACCAAAGCATTTGGGCTTTAAAACCATGATTTAGATTTGAATCTCTACTCAACTTCTTAGCTGTGTGACTTTAGATAACTCATTTTACTCTATGAGTACCCATTTTTCAACCATAAAATTGGATAAATCATATATTTCTTATAGGGTTACTGTGAGGATTACTAATATGTGAAACTTCTAGACTACTGCCCAAAACAAAATAAATATTCCATAAATATTTGTCCCCAGATATCACTGTTTTGTTACATATCATATTAGCCAAGTAAGTCATTATAGGAAAGATACATTTCCGGTCCATCTCATATCCTTTTCATCACCATAAATTACAAGTCCCAGAAATTTCTAATCAGGGTCTGCCTCCAAAATGAGGACTCAGCTTATGCTTTACAAAGATTCCACCTAAATTTAATTGGATCAATTTGTCTTCTTTTTTCTAATACTTATCTTCCTAAATGAATATTGCATGAAAAAGCTGGACAGGAGATTATATAAGAAGAAGGGTCCGGGCTCGGTGGCTCAGGCTGTAATCCCAGCACTTTGGGAGGCCAAGATGAGTGGACTGCCTGAGCCCTCGGGTTCGAGACCCACCCGGGAAACTTGGCGAGACCTCTTCTTTACAATAAATAAAAAATTAGCCGGGCGTGGTAGCGTGCACCTGTAGTTCTGGCTACTTGGAAGGCTGAGGCGAAAGATCACTGGAGTCTAGCAGGGTGAGGCTGCGGTGGCCAGGAGCACGCCACTGCACTCCAGTCTGGGCAACAGAGTGAGACTCCAATTCAAAAAAAGAAGGAAAAAAAAAAAAGAAGAAGAAGAAAGAACTGGTAAAGTGGGCAGAGGAAGAATCTTCAGAGAAGGAAAATAAAGAGTTGAGTTAGCTTCAGGGAATGTGGTTTTGTCTTGAGCTTGATGATCAACAAGTATTGACTAAATTTCTATTCTGGGCCCAGCTTCATGGTAGAGCTATTTGGATGCATGCTTGACCATGCATTAGATGTCATTACAATACAACTACGTGGTGAGGTTAATAGAAAGATCTCCATTTTAATTAGCGGGGCGTGGTGGTACATGCCTATAGTTACAGCTACTTGGGAGGTTAAGGCAGGAGGGTCACCTGAGCCTAGGTGGTTGAGGTTATGGAGAGTTATGATCATCACATCACTGAACTCCAACCTGGGTGACAGAGTAAGACCTTGTCTTTGAAAAAAAGAAGAAAGAAAGAAAAAAGAAAGAAACATTCCACGTTATACATGAGACTCAGAGAAGAGGCAATGCCACACAGCGAATAAGTAGCAGAATCAGGATTGATATTTTAGGTCACCTGATTTCACAGCTGGTTTTCTTTCTAGTATTAACAATGTGCTGGAGCCAGTTAACATCTGCTTATGAGTGCTGACTGTGGCATGTCTTACCAACTCTGTGTTTAGTAACCAACACTGGTGGTTGGAAGTTAGTCATGATCGTGGGAGTATTTACATCACAGACATAGACAAATGATACAAATCTGGACTTAAAAAAAAAAAGTAGAGTACCACCTGTCAAATACTTATCAGCAAAATTATTTCTGGTAACACAAAACCATAAACCATGTTCCTTGAACCCAAGGAATTTATAATCTGTCTCTGTAGGCATAATATTATACACACCCAAATAGTGGTGATTATATAAATTCATTAAACTTGTACATGAGTGTTTGTCTACAGCAGTATTATTTATATAAAAAGTGAAAAAATCCAACTGGTTCATCATTAAGTAAAATTTAATATATCCATACAATGGACCATTATTCATCAATAAAAAGGAATGAGCAGGTGTGGTGGCTCATGCCTGTAATCCCAGCAACAGGGAAGGCAGGAGTGGGAAGATTGCTTGAAGCTAGGAGTTTAGAACCAGTCTGGGCAATATAGTGCGTCTCTAAAAAAAAAAAATGAAAAAACTTAGTGGGCCATGGTGGTGCATTCTTGTAGTCCCAGTTACTCAGGAGGCTGAGACTGGAGGACTGCTTGAGCCCAGGATGTCAAGGAGGCAGTGAGCCATGACTGCACCACTACACTCCAGCTTGCATGACAGAGTGGGATCCCAACTCTTTAAAAAAAAAAAAAAGACATCAGGTACTAATACATGCTACATTATGGATGAACTCTGAAAATATTATGCTAGGTAAAGAAAAAATCAGTCACTAAAAGCCACATATTGTATGATCCCATCTATACTAAATGTCTAGAACAGGCAAATTCAGAGACAGAAAAATTAGTGAGATTGCCTAGGACTGGGGTGCAAGAAACTGAGGCAAAGACTGGAAGAATGGGGAGTGACTACTAATTAGCACAGGTTTCTTTTTGGAGGGATAAAAATGCTCTAATATTAGATTATGGTGATGACTGCACAATCTGAAAACACTCTAAAACCATTTAACTGTATACTTTAAGTAGGTAAATTTTATGATATGTAAATTATGTAACATAAAGCTATTTCTGAAAGTGAAAATACATTAAGCATTAAGTTAAAGTCCCCTTTTATAATTACTCCTCACCTCAAAACTTTCCCAAACTTTTCAACCATTATCAGCTTAGTAGAAAATGTACTAACATATTATCAGACCTGTAGAAAATATACAGTGCTGTTTTATGTACATTATAAATAGTATTATGCTTTTTAAAACTCATTATGTCTTGGAGATGAGTCCACATTATACATTAACTCTTCAAAGGAAGTGATTTAGTAGGATCATAGATATAAATGCT